ACTGTGTATGTTTCTTTTTTGGTCAAAATAATCTTATTTGTCTATTATGCAGTAGTCTATTGACAGTAATAATTATTGTTTTGACCGACCTCTGGTGTTTTGTATTCTGATTTTCTCTCTCTATAGAAATGCTAGTAAAAGCTTTGGAGTCTGATTGGACAGTGCTGTTGGAAGACATGGGCCTTTGGATACCTGCTGAAATTGTTAACACAGAACATCATGATAAACCTGAGGGTGAAGAGGAGGAGTTAGGTAATTCATTAATTTATGCTCCTTGCCCTTCTCTCTATCGTAAATAAACCTCCAATTCACATTTTATTTTCCTTTACAAGAATACAAAAGTCATGATACTTATCTGCTAGTGTTGAGAGATTTACTCTATTGTCTGGTAGAGACTTATTCCATGTGCTGATGTATGTATTCCTTTTTTCTCTCTATAAGATCAAATTTTGCCTGGAAGGCCGCTTCCACCTGAATGCCATGCGGAAGTTCATACCGATTATGATGGTGCTGCTGTAAGATGGGGGCTTAACCACCACAAAGATAGTGCAGCTGACTGTTGTCAGGCTTGCTTGGATCAAGCTAAACGTGCTAAGCCTAACGAAAAGAAATGTAATATATGGGTATACTGCCCGTCCGAAAGCGGTTGCCATTCTCCAGATATCTATGAGCATAAACTTGGAGAGTGCTGGCTGAAATACGTAAGAATGAAACAACCTCTTCAATACAATTACACATTTTGTTTATTTTTCTTTTAATCTGAGTTAAGTTTCGTCCAGATTAGTCTCGATTATGAGGATCCAATCCAGTCTAATATTTGTTGTTTTCATTTATCAAAATGCAGGCAGAAACGCCTAAACTCAATTTTAAGGACAAGTATCCTGAATCATACAGAAACAACCATCCATCTGCACCACTTGTTGTTCCTTGGGCCTCTGGCATTGTTGGTGCATGATAGGATTTCTCCAGAAAAAAAAGAAAGGACAAACCCTTGTCATTGTAATGTGACCTGCAAAGGCTAACCATGTTCTGGAAATATCACAAAACACGTGCATATATATAGCTTCACTGGAATCTCTAGTCATGGTCTCCCTGGGTTTATGTATTTTTGTTCCTATCAAATTGTTTTGTGAAAAATAGAAGAAATAGGGAGAAATTCTTTGTAAGAGATAGTGGGGTGGAGTCACTGAAGGTTAAGGTATGCCCCATGCTGCTTGTTTGTTCACAAGTCATTTTTTGGTAATACGGATTGTCATCGTACGGGTGCTGACGGTTCAAGGTGAAGAAGTCTTGGTCGGAGGCTAAGTGAGCTTTGTTGTTAGACATTGAAACTTTCCCTGTGAATGATTGATTAATTAATGGGGAATATGAATTTCTGTCTCTGAACATTGTGCAACACTCTCTAATTCTTTTGATAAATATAAAGCTCTTTATCTTTTCTTAAGGGGACAAGTACACTCGAACAAATATATTTTCCAGAGAACAAAAATTCTTTCTACCAACTCTTATTAAGTGTTACCTTACCACGGTACAAAATTGAAGGGTTTCCAATCTGCTACTAATATCTGACTAAATACAAAATGAAAAGGAAATAAACAAGAACACTAGTACTAGCCTCAGCTTCCCCATTGATAGTTTGGAACTTGACCCCCCATTAACATCTAAGTACAAGCTTGAAAAAGGTGGCTGTGAGTGGAAACTTGGATTAGGTGGCTCTGAGTGGGAACTTGGATTAGGTGGGATGCTCTGCTCGTTCCTGAAGAAATTTTCTGGATCAACAGCAGTCTTCACCTTCACCAACCTATCAAAATTGTCATTGAAGTACTTCAAGCCATACACCTTCCCTTGTTCATAGCTTCTGTTACCAAATTTATTGACACCAATGTCAAGGTCCCTGTAATTCAAGAAAGCACTCCTTGGGTTCTTGGACACAAATGGGGTCATGAACCTGAAAAGCCTCCTGGTGTCTGTGGTATATTTCTTCTCTGCTTCAGCCCCTGCTTCCCCCCAGCTCACTGAGTACTGAACTTTGAACAAGTTACCGGCACGGTGTGGAAAAGGCGTGGCAGAGGCCGGAATCCGACTCATCATCCCACCATATGGATTGAAAACCAACCCTATTTTGCCTATTTCAATCATCTTCTTCCACAGTAACTCCAACCTACTTTTGGAAATTGGGGTTTGAACATAATCAGACTTTCTTTTCAGGAAATTTGCATGATCAGGATTTCTATCAAGCAACACATCAGGGGAGGTCCCATTATCATAGTTATCCCACCAAAGCACAGACTCAATCCAGCTCATCTCCTTACAGTCCTCCTTCTTCAAACCCAACTCAGGAAACTGTTTCCCCAACAATGACACAAGTTGGTCAGCATTACCTAGAAACTCTGCGATGATTGTGGCTTTAACAGTGTTGCTCCCTGGCTGCAGTAGCATCCTCATAAACAGACCGTCATCTGTGGTTGGTGCCACCTCTTGCCACCTCAAAACAAAGTCAGTTGCATTCTCTTCCAACGTTCTCGCAGCCTGGAAAACTGTAACAGTTTCTGGGACAGAAACCAGCTTCAATTTGTATGCAACAATGACACCAAAGCTTCCTCCACCCCCGCCTTTAATGGCCCAAAACAGGTCTTCTCCCATGGCTTTTCTATCAAGAAGTCTCCCCTTAGCATCAACAATCTGAGCATCAAGGACATTGTCAACAGCAAGGCCAAACTTCCTCAACATGTTTCCATAGCCACCACCACTAATGTGCCCTCCAATACCAACTGTGGGACAAACACCAGCAGGAAAGCCATGAACTTTGCTCTTCTCCGAAATCCTATAGTACAATTCTCCAAGTGTGGCTCCAGCCTGAACCCAAACCGAGCTGTCCTCAATGTCTACAGTCACAGACCTGAGGTTAAACATGTCAAGGACAATAAAGGTCTGATCAGACCAGTAAGAAAGGCCCTCATAATCGTGCCCGCCGCTTCGGATTCTCAGCTGTATGCCAAGCTGTTTGGCACAAACAACAGAGGCTTGAACATGAGATGCAGCAGAGGGTGTGACAATGAGGACTGGTTTTGGAGTCGAAGTGGTGTTGAACCTTGAGTTTCTGATGTAGGCTCTTAGAACAGATGAGTACGAAGGGTTGTTTTGGGCATAGATGATGTTGGACAATTGGGTTGATGATGGGTTTGTGTTGGTGTTTAGGCACTGAAGAAAGTTGTCATAGACAGAAGCCGAGGCTGCCCATGAAACAGAAACAGGAAAAACTAGGAGGACAACAAGTGGAAGCATCATCATCCTAGGCATTGCTTCTCTCAGTGTCTTTGACAATTTGTTGTATGTTGTAAGGTTTTGGTCCTATAAATACATAGATAAGACCTGTTTGGAAAGGGAATTGTCAACTGTAGAAATTTAAAATCAATTCCTTGACACAATAGGAAATGTTGACAGAATGGGAAACTCAATTCCAGCAAAACAAACTAGGAAAGTTTTGTTTCCTTTTTTGTTTTTCCTATCAACAACACTTGCTAAATTCTAAAGTTTTTGGGAAATCAGCAAACCCAGCAATATAACACGATCAATCCAACTTTTGTTTTCTGGGTAACAGGATCAATATGTCTAGTGTTGATAGGAAAACGCAGACCCAAAAAAAGCGTTTGATAGGAAAACCAACAAAGAGAAAAAGAAAAATCCCCAAAAAAAAGGGAAAAAATTGGGGTCTTTTTGAAAATTGTAGAAATGTTGGGGTCAAAACGTAAATTTCAAAACTTGATTTAATCACACCCAGCCTTTCTTCTCGACAGAGGCTAGGTTTTCCACTGTAAAAGTTTCGGCATTTGCTCCACGAAGTTTTTAATTTAATTTAAATTCTTTATCTTTCTTCTCCACTGCATCTGCCTGCTGCACTTAATTTGCATCTGCTCCCTCGGACGATGCCTATTTTTTGTTAGATTGGATTTCGCTCGGCCCACCAGATGAACTTCGAGGTGAGCTTATTTCTGTGTTTCTCTTTGGTCTTTGTATTTTTAATTTTCCTTTTGGTTGAATTTGTGCGTCGTTGGTTCATGAAAAGCAACAATTTGGTTCAATCTGGTTCTGAAGTTTGGCGCTTTGATTTCATACTTTTTTGTTTAGCGAATCTGGAATTTCGAATCTGTGGTATTATCTCTGATTTACAGCTTCGATCTTTGAAATTGAAATTTTAGTTAGTTTGATGCATTGGTTTCCAAAACGAAGCTCAGATTTTAGAGTGTTCGAAAAATCGGCCTAGGCGGCCGCCTAGGCGCTAGGCGGGAGGACACCGCCGCGATTTCACCCTAATCGTTAGGGGTAGGCGCCAGGGAGTTAGTCGGCGCCTAACTCAAGCATCGGATGAGTGAGATGAAATTGATAGTTTCTTAGGTTTTCTCATAATTTTTTTTATATTCCGTATGCAGTGAAGCTAATCTGATAGCAAGTGGCTACAACCATGGTTCTTGGCAACTACTCCATTCAGGAAACTCACTATGACATACTATCTGTGAAACAAGATGCCAGCTATGAAGATATCCGAGCAAGCTACCGATCTGCCATCCTTAATAGTCATCCTGATAAATCACAAAATACATCTGGGTCAGGAGATAGGTTCTTGAAGGTGCAAAAGGCTTGGGAAATCCTTGGCGATTCGAGGGCTCGTGCACTTTATGACATTGCCCTTGGAGCTTCTAGACATGATGCTATAGTTGCAGAAGACATCAGCTTAGAAGATGTGATGGCTGAGGATGCAGGAGAGGTCATTCAACTCTATTACCAGTGCCGATGTGGTGATTATTTCTTTGTTGATTCTTTGGAGTTGGAGAAGATGGGGTATGCTTTGTTAAGAGATGGAAGCAAGATATCCTTCGAGGCACAAAATGCTTTGCCAGCTTCACTTGTCCTTCCTTGTGGCTCTTGTTCCTTGAAAGTTCGGATATTGATCAATTCAGATCATTTTGTTTCAATCGATGATCACCATTGAATGGAAGTAAACTTTTTGGTGTCAAGAGTTTGTAGCTTGAGAAGTCAATTTGAAATGGAGTGAAATTAGATGTAAATTTTAGAGATATGTCTAAGAATATTAACAATCTAAAATCATATAATGGACAATTGATTTTGAGATTTGAAAGTTTTTCTTGCCTGCAAAGCAAGTGAGATTCGAAACAAAGATGAAAGCAAGGGTCGTTGTATGGGCCTTTGTACATGTTTGATTTGGATCAAGAACTGGCCCATCTGGGAGGTCCATATATGTCTATCATTTTGGTTTCTCTTCTTTCCAACCAAAGAAAAAATAAAAAAAGAAACTAACAAAACTAACAAGAACGATACAAAATTGGAAGATAAAAAATTGGGTCTACGGTTCTCAGAGAGCTGATCAGGTTTCAGGATCTGCCACCAATTGAAGAAAATTGAACGCCCACTTCTCTCATTCCAGGTACAATTTCTTCCTTCCTTCTTCTTCTTGGGTTCTCCACAAAAAAATTTAGGGCTTTGTTCTTCTTGTGAAATGAAAGAAATTTAATTTCATCAAAGGTTGTATTTTTGGGCAATAAAAAGTAAAATTCACAATTGGGTCGTTCTTATAATCGGAAACAGGTCCTGAGCCAAACTCTTGAGATGGGTTCTGCAGAAAAAAGCTCCCAATGGAGGAGTGTCTTTGATGGTGTGAAACTGAAGACTATCAAAGCCATGCCGGAAGCACTCATGGCAGAGATCAACACAGCAATTTGCAATCTTGAATATGCACGTGCCACTGATCTGGTCGACTCTCCATCTTCTTCTTCAATCTCAAGGTTTGAGAGCTCTCCTCAACCTGAATACAGTGCTCGCATGGCGGACCAAGCCTACAAGGCAGGGTGTGCAGCCTTGGCTGCTGGCAAGCTTGATGAGGCTCTTCAATCTCTGAACGTTTCTCTCTCCAAATGCCCTCCTGATCAGACTTCTGCTGTGTCTAAGCTTCATTCTCTCATCTCTCTCACATCACAGCAGCTCCAAAAGTCCACAAGCTGAAGTTATTACGACAACACAGTTTTTGGTTCTTTGTGTTTATGGCACTTTGACTTGAACTTCTTATGACAACATGCTTTTTGGTGAAGAAAAAGTTGAGGTTTCTGTTTCTATGCTTTCATCATGCAATGTGGATTTCGGCAACAAGAATTGGGAGCTATTGAATGGAACAATTAATTAGGAAACATGAGGACATGTTGACATTATTGTTTTGAAGCAGATTTCACGAGGTTGGTTGGTAGGTGATAGGTTTAAACTTTACAGCTGAAGATAAGGTTAATTCCTAGTATTAGCCTATTGTGTACATAATTTCCTTCGTTTTTGTTTTAACCTTGGTTTGATTACATCAAAGTTTCCCATGGGAAGGGAAAATGAAACCCAAAGGGGAGGAGGGTTACATTTTCTTCCCTATTTTCCAATGTGCCCGGTAACCATTTTCTATGCCGGGCTTACCAGACATGGGCAATTGATTTCCCATCTCCAAGCATCATTTCTCATGAACCAAATGCAGCCAAAGGGTTTTTAAAGAACTCATGTCTTATTGTTTTACTTTTTTGGTTGGGCAACCGCACTTTTAAATTTAACTATTTTGATTGCTTTCAATAAAAATGAAATTTGGGTGTGTTAACTTGTTTCTATATCTTCCATTGAAATCAGGGGCAGGCTTTCTCCCTTTTGGCAAATTTGACATATAGCCATTTCAGTTTGGTAACCTGTCCTAGTTCACCAAGGCTTCAACTTTAAGTATAAATTTGAAAACTACAGAAGAGACACTTAATGTAGGAAAAACGAAAGAAACGGATGAAGGGTCTTCAATGGAACAAGTAAGCGTTGTAACCTCAAAGAGGGGTTTGGAGTTTTGTTAAAACGTCTAATGCTTTCCTTTTAGCTTTATCTTTACCCCAAAGGATATAAAGCAATATTCTCCATTTCTAATAAGCTGGGAGGCCACTATCACATATGCAGGTCAATTTGGACATCAAGTCGTGTAAGAATAACAAACACCAACGCTAGTTTTGTAGATATCTTTTAGTCCCTGTGGTTTGCAAACCCTCGCTCAACAGAAACTTTTAACTCCAACATGAGCATCTTTTATCAAGAAGAAGAGCCACCAAATCCTTCCAAAAGATGCAAATTTCTCGCTGCTTGTCTCACAGATGCGTTTTCCAATTGCCATATTGGCAGACAGCTTCCAACTTCGAGCCCAGAAGCAGAGGATCAGTACATAACAAGTGACTTTGATGAGGAACAGGAAGTATTCACTAAGCACCTGCATGAATGTTTAGATATGATCTTTTCATTCCCTTGTTAAATCCATGAGAGTTTCGTAGGTTGCTTTTATAGTTTTTTGGTGTTTTTTCTCAGGTAATTGTATCAGCAATTCGAAGTGCTGCAATGGAAAAGCTGAGGCGCAAGCCTAGCAGTTTGACAGATAGCTTTTCATTTGTCTACTCTTCAAAATCAGGAGATTTATTCATAAGCCAGAAAGGAGTGCAAAACAAAAGGGATCATGGTGAAGAAGATGATGAGAAAGAAGAATTTTTATCTGTTAAAAGTTGCTTCTCTTGCTGCTCAACTGCTGCCACAAGTAGAGATGTGTTTCTTTCTGTCAAGACAAGTTTGTCCCGCTGTTCAAGCCTTAATGGGATTGATTTTATAGATTTTCCGAGGCAGTCTATAATTCAGCAATTCCGTCATTGTGAGGGCTGGCCCTTCGGTCTTTGCCGGAAGGCTGTGTTGCTTCCACCTCTGCCCAAGTCGCCGTCTGAGTCGTGGTCATGGCGCAAAGCCACTAAATATGTCAAGATGGTTTAAAGGCAGAGCTCCCCAACCCCACCACCACCACCAAAGGTCCAAAGTTCTGTCCTGTTTAGATGATTGAATGCGTTGAATAAGAAAGCAACTAGAATAAAGTTTCTCTGTAATATCGTATCACTGTGAGAAGTAAAGCCTAATGGGAATTGAAACTCTCTCTCTCTCTCTCTCTCTCTCTCTCTCTCTCTCTCTCTCTCTCTCTCACATGAATCATGATCATATCGTATATTTTATCATCTGCAATTTGGCTCTTGCAAACATTGAGCTTTACACATGCCGAGTTGTAAAGGGAAAGACCACTTGCCTTGATTGCCATAACAATTATGGTTTCTCAGATTGGAAGGTTGAATGTAACAATTATGTCCAACTTTATATCGTCAACTTTTATTTTTACACATCTTTTAAGTTCTAGGACTGGCCATCTCCAAGAGCAACAAACAACTTAACATAAGGACTAGTCCCAGCAAGCCCAAAAAAAAGAAGAAAAAAACTGCCCCAGAGGGACAAACTGCAACCAAACCAGAAGCCTAAGAAGAACACCAACCCTCAAAGGTCTAGTCCTAAACGGTAAGTCTTTTAGACTGAACCTGGGAGTTCATTTCCAAGCAATCTCTGATTTGAGTGATTAATCGTCCCTCATCGCCACTCCCAATCTCTAATTCCTCAGAAACCTTCTCAATCTCAAAGCATTCCTTCAATCTGTCATACACATGACTTATTTCTGGCCTTTCTGTTGATGTTTTAGACACACAAGCCAAGGCAGTTTCTATAGCTTTCTGTGCAGAAGAATACTTGTATGTCCCTTGTACTCTCGAATCCACTATGCTTTCAATTTCCATTCTCTCAAATTTAGCTCTCACCCAATCAGATACATTAACATGTGTAGTTTCTAATTCTGTTATTATTGCTGGTCTGCCAGTTATAAGCTCTAGCAACACAATCCCAAAGCTGTATGAATCACTCTTTCTAGTGAGCTGTCCAGTTGTGCAATATCTGTTACCAAAAAAATCTTTGTTGTATTAAAATTTTGTTTTTGGACTGACTCTTTGTTCTAACATTATATTTATGTGTAACAAATATCACCACAATGGCTAGCAGGAATTGTTGAAAGTGCTTACTCAGGATCCAGGTACCCATATGTTCCTCTGAGGTCTGTTAATGCATGAGTGGCAGTATCAGTTGCAAGAGCTTTAGAAATTCCGAAGTCTGCTATCTTGGCTTGCAACGTCTCAGTTAACAAGATGTTGGAAGGCTTCAAATCTCTGTGCAGTATCGGCGGTTTGCAACCATCATGCAGATATTCCAATCCTGCAAATTTCAAAAGACAGCAACCATCGTCTAACGAAAGATGTTTTTCACAAGAGTTTATATATGTTTATTAATGTGACGATGATGATTTGTGTTTACCTCGTGCTGCATCTACTGCAACCTGAAGTCTCTGCTTCCAAGTCAAGCCCTTGTAAGGTATATCTGCACTGCACATGAGTGTGATTAATATAGAATAAAAATTCGGTTAATCAAATGGAACATAAATACATCCGAATCATATATTAGTGAAGCACACTATATATTCAATCCCAATTGCATTGAAGCAAAGTATATATATAAATCCTAGAAAAATGATCAGCTGTATAGCTATCGGTCTAGTCTTATTCTTTTTTGTAACGTTGGAAAATGACCCAAATTCATATCACCTCATCCTGTTTCTTCTTTTCTTTTTATGATCCACTACTGGTTGAGTAAGGGATATACCTGCAGCTGATATATGCTGTTGCAAATTTCCATTTGCGATGTATTCGTAAATAAGCGCCATAGTGTCACCTTCGTCACAGTAGCCAATTAGAGAAACCAAGTTTCTATGATGAACTCTCATCAATAACTTCACCTGCAATCCAATGTGGCTACTATACTTTCAGCAAAAGATAGAAAGAACTGAATACATATATAGATGTATATAGTTGGGCGACATCTACCTCATTTTGAAATTCTTCAGAGCCTTGACTTGATGATAAATCAAGTATTTTCACAGCAACTTGAGTATCATTTTCCAGAGTGCCATGGTAGACTTCTCCAAATCCGCCTCGTCCAATTAGTGTAGAATTGCTGGTTATCTTGTCGATCTCTGATTTTGTAAATTTTCTACCCCGTGGCTCTATTGGCTCTGTTTGGATGAAATTGTTTATGAATTTAATTAAGAATATTTATATAGAACCGGAATCAAACTCATAAAAACGAAAAGAAAAACATTAACAAGTATCGGAAGTCTTACCATC